CAGGAGTACGGACAGACGAAGAGACAGAAGGAATCGAATCGAACAGATTGGAATGACGGACAGAAAGACGGGCAGAAAGACGGGCAGAAAGACGGACAGAAAGACGGACAGAAAGACGGACAGAAAGACGGGCAGAAGTACGCGAAACGAAGGGACAGAGAAACGTATGAAACGCAAAGACAGACGTACGGACAGACAATCGGATAACAATATGGACAGAAGGACGGACGGATGAAGATGGTCGGGCAGACAGAAGGCTAGACCGACGCACAGAAAAACTGACAGCCGGATAGGCGGATGGACAGAAAATCGGATAGAAATGTGGTTAGAAGCACGGACGGACAGACAGAAAGATGACAGACGAACGGACCAAAGGACGCATTCATGGATAGACGGATGGAGCTGAAAACAGATTAATGGATAAATATGCGCATAGAAGACGGACAGATAATCATACGGACGGACAGAAAGACAGATGGACGGAAGGACGTAAACAACGAGGAAGAACTAGATTTGAAGCTAAACTACTTTCAGCTATTACATGGATAATTGTTATGAACTTTAATGCAAAACTTTTGGGCAGTGCAAGTTTTAAACTAATATGATTTACAGCTATGCTTATTCCCATTTAGAGCTCCTAGTGAGACTCCTGGAGAATAATATAATAAATGCAGTTTGCAATGGAAATAATGATGATTGAGTTTGCTGAGATTCCAAATCAAAAGTGAAACGAGAATAAATGGAATTCCAAAGAGAAATAGCTGAGCTGACATTTGGTCTTCCAATTAAGTCATCTATATGTGTCTATCCACATATTCGGGTATATATTTTGTGTGACTGCTTAGTGTGGATTATCTGGCTGTCCGCATCGAATGCCAATTAGGTGTTTTGATTAATTGGTCATTTGTTGCGCCGCCAGGTGGCGTGTTTGTAACTTATTTGGGGCTGTCATGTTTACAGGGTATTCGGCGTGCACACACAAACTTGGGAGTTGAATGTGGCAAACAGCTGGAAAAGTTTGCCGTTACACGCACACGTCACACACACACAAACACACACACACATGCACATATGCGCCCGCATGCAAGTCGCAGCTCGAGCTTATTTTGTTTTCTCTTCTCTTCTTTTTTTGCCCCTCTTATTTCTTAATTATATTACTTTGTTTTTGTTGTTCTTTCATTTTTTTTTTTTTGTTGGAGGGTTTTTCAATGTGTGGAAGACCTTTGGCAGTCATTCATTAATTAGCATGTGGCCACTCCCAGGCGGCGGCTGACTGAATGAGCTCTTGCCACCAGCTCACAGTGGTTGCGCCCATAGGCCAAAAGTCAAAAAACCCATCGCAACCAATTTTGACAAAACCCACACAAATTGACTCGTAAATGTCCAAACTTCTTAATGGCAAACCGGGTTTT